CAGTGGTATTCTAAGTTTCACGTCCAACCTCACTGTCGACCTCCTATTGCAAGTGGGTCTCATTGGGGTCTAAGCGTGACCAGGGATTGCCGATTTTTTGTAAGCGTGACACGTGAAAGTCAAATTATTGTGCCGTGAAAACGGGAAATGAAGTCTAGCGGGACACGGTAAATTACAAAAAAATGAGAATTGCTTACGTACATAGTGTAAGCGGGATACGGGAATCTGACAAAACAGTAAGCGGGATCCGGGATCAGAACCCCCCAATGAGACCCCCTTGCAAGACCTACCTATTGTATTCAAAATTTATGTGGTCTCGTCATGAACAGGCATGAAATATTTGCCACTGGACGTCAAGTAAACAACAATCAATCAACTTCATAAATTATTTCATGTACATAGTACACGAAGACACGACCTTTTACAATGATATAATGTAAAATTTCCATTTAAATCACTCAATTAATCTAGTGCAATATTTTTATGTTTTTTTTTTTTTTTTTCCAATTTACTACATGACCGAACACTAATACATTTATTTTAAATATGTTTATGCGCCACCTACGATAGTAGAGGGGCATTATGTTTTTCGATTTGTGCGTCCGTTCGTCCGTCCGTCCGTTCGTCCGTCCGTCCGTCCGTTCGTCCGTCTGTCCCGCTTCAGGTTAAAGTTTTTGGTCGAGGTAGGTTTTGATGAAGTTGAAGTCCAATCAACTTAAAACTTAGTACACAAGTTCCGTATGATATGATCTTTCTACATTTAATGCTAAATCAGAGTTTTGAACCCAATTTCACGGTCCACTGAACATAGAAAATGATAGTGCGAGTGGGGCATCTGTGTACTATGGACACATTCTTGTTTGACTATGGTTTTTATCTACTGTACGTGTTTTAAACGATTCATAATATATGATTATGTCAGGCCGCGATTATAAAACTAAGAAAGGTGAAAGTTTAATTTTCAAGGGGTTTATGCTTCATTTAGAAGTGTAAAGGAAATAACGGACGACCAAAAAAAGTGTTTCATATGATACATTGTATATATTTCAATTTAAGAATGTAGATCAACCTTGCGAAAACATCTCATTTATACACGTTTTGATTGAGCCACTCAAACCTACATAACTTGATTCTAAAGATGTTACATTTATCTAGGCTATTTAAATAAGATGTTATTCTTATTAAAAAAACAAAAAACCAAAATTCATTAATTAATTGGACTGAACAGACAACATTAATTATTTTGCAATAGCATATTAAGTAGTAAATCAAAACCCAAATGAACATATGATGAAGGCATAATCTTTCAATCAGTTTAATTGAGGTCTGGAGCTGGCATGTCAGTAATTGCTACCTCATGTACTAGTCCTTTGTTAATTTATGTATCATTGTCATTTTGCTCAGTTTCTTTTGTTACCTTTTCTGAAATCGGACTCGGACTTCTTTTAAACTGAGTTTTACTGTGCGTATTGATGTGTGTTTCTTTATTCTACACTGGCTAGAGGTATAGGGGGAGAGTTGAGATCTCACAAAACATGTTTAACCCCGCCGCAGTTTTGCGCTTGTCCCAAGTCGGGAACCTGTGGCCTTTGTTAGTTTTGTATGTTTTTTTTTTTAATTTTAGTTCCTTTATATGTTTTGGAGTTTAGTATGACGTCCATTTTCACTAAACTAGAACACATTTTTATCTAGGGGCCAGCTGAGGCCCACCTCCGGATGTGGGATTTTCTCGCTGCATTTAAGACCCATTGGTGGCCTTCGGCTGTTATCTGCTATTTGGGCGGGTTCTTGTCTCTTTGACATATTCCCCATTTCCATTCTCAATTTTATTTACCTGAATATTGTGAAGGACATTATGCATCTAGGTCTGTTCGATTAGAAGTTGTGAAACAAGCTGTTTGGATAACTAATTGTTGGAAGATTTTACTTACTGTTTTCGTCTGGGTTGGTCTTTACGAATCTATTTCATGATTACTGACAGATTAAAAACATCAAATATATATAACAAGAAGATTTTGTGCAGAACATTCGTTGGTCAGTTATAAATGAGGTCTGTATAGGGTTTGAATTCATAATAAAATTAAAAAATCGTTATTTGTTTCGAAAAGTTGGAATTAAAAAATATAAATTTACAGTAACTCCGTAATTAAAAAAAAAACTATCCTATGGTGTTATTGTATTGCAAAGAAAATTATTATAATTAAATAATTAAAAGATGCCCTGCCATTTAATCGGTCCGTTTTCAATGCAATTAGGTATCTGTTATTTGTATATATCAGTATGAGTACTGTTTAACTATCATTTGAGTTAAATATATTTAGACTCGTCCAATTCAGGGGAATTAGGCTTCTGCGAGTGTTTTTTTTTTTTTTTTTTTTTTTGGGCGTATTTTTTTATGTTTATGACTGTAAGTCAGTAAAATTTCAGTGATTAAGTTAATATTGACATTACAAGACCTCCTCACAAAAAGGGCTATTCGAATACCCTAGCCCTTCGGACTCGGGGATCTCAACATCCCTTTTTGTTCGAAGGTCTTTTAATACAGTTTTGTCTGCTGGATCCCAATTATTGTAACATAAACAAATTTTGTCTGTTTGGGTTGCTCGCCTAATTTTGTTTATATATAACGGAACTATAAACAACAGTCATACAAGTGGGAGATTTAGATATTAAATTAGGTGTAACCCACCATTTTCTTCGGAAAATGCCAGTACCAAGTCAGGATATGACGGTTGTTTTCCATTCGTTCCGTTGGTTGATATAGTCTAACGTTTGATTTGTCAGGTTTGATTGACTTCCCCTTTTTTTTGGCGCTCTGTATTTTTGATAATACTTTTCTCTGACATTTGATCATAATTTCAAAAGTCTGCGTCATTTTATCACTTTCCGACTGGCAATAGATTTATTTGCAATCGTAGGTCCAAAATCAGGCGTCATGTAGGAGGGGTCTGATGGGGGGGGGGGGGGGTCTCATCACGATTCACGAGTTGATTTTTTTGTCAATCACGATTCACAGAAAATAAATTTCCATGATCACGGATCACGAAAATATTAAAAAAAAATCTGTAGAAAAACGGATCACGATAGCGAAAATGCGCCGATCACGAAGAACGAAAATAACCCATCAGGCCCCTTATGTAGGTCGGTCTATGGAGTTTAAAATTTACCCTCCTTGTCGCCGTACTATTAGGGAGTAATTTTGCTAGACTTAAAGTATTTTTTGATATACTCAATACTTTGTTTTCGAAAATGATATCAATACGTGAAAATGACGATATTCACACAATATATGGATTTTGTATGAATTTCACAATCAAGACTAATTAATTCTAATATTAAAGGACTTATCTCATCTGTATTTAATCAAATGATAACATTAAGTTTAATGCAATCGGTTATTCAAGTCGAGAGCGTATCTGGTGAAGGTTAGGGGACGACTATTTGATTTTCTGGGGATAGGGGGCAGAAAGGTTTTAAGATTGAAAATCCTGGTCTGGAAAGAGTTGAAAATAAATCATCTTGCACAAGACAGGATGAAAATAGATATTCTGCAGCACAAAATATAAGAAACAATTGTGTTCAAAAAGGAAAATTAATTAATCCTAACAATAAAAAAAGTATGAGTAGCAACAGATAAAAATTAATACGCAATCTGTAAATATTCCTGCTGCCACTCCCCCAAAAAAAAATAATAAAAAAAAAAATAAAAATGTTTGTCCCCTCAATACAGAATGACGTATCATAAACACTAAAATCGTTATCATACTATATGATATAAGGTAGTTTAAAATATTGTTTTTTTAGGCAAAATTATACTGAGTAAAATGAAACAAAAAAAAATATTACATAACCTATCCTTTTTTAAGTGGTCCATCATAGTCTAGTGCGAAGTCTATTTCAATTCTGGGACTGTCTTATTATTATCAGTTCATTTTTTTCACGCATTGATATAAGTCAAATTAACCTGTAAATATTTGTGTCATAAGTTCTTATCTGAAGTACATCGAGATAAAAGTCACAAGTCTATTCAGATAATGTTCAATGGTCATTACGATATGATAAATCATACTCAGTATAAAATTTACCGTTATAGATATAATATTCTCTCTCTCTCTCTCTCTCTCTCTCTCTCTTTCTCTCTCTCTCTCTCTCTCTCTCTCAATTGCGTAATCTGAAATCGAAGCTTACATGATATTAGTCATTTATTTCATGTATTCGGTTTGTATTTTTTTTTTCTTTCTTTTTTGTCATTTAATGACACTTGAAAATAAGACGAATGATCGGTGTTCGTCTATTTATGCATAACTACTTTAATTAGATAATGATTCATGGTCATTAATGTGGTAGTAAAATTAATCGGACATAAGATGCGTTTGCGTACAAATAAAAATTAAACAAACTTTGAATAGTTTATAATTATATCTCTTTGACGAGATTAGTTTCGTTAATAGTTTGGTACAGTCCAATACGGCATGAAGTCGTGTCGTTTTCTTTAAACATCAAACCAAGTATACGAATTATTTATACAGGAAAAACTACTTTGTAATTTCATATTTAGAAGAAAATATATGGAAATTTACGAAAACAAATTATATACATCGAATCACTTGAAAAAGCATACAACAATTCAATGGTAGCAGGCGAAGATCTACGAATTTTAAAATGGAGTGGTTGTAGTTTTCAACCATACAAAAGGGTGCTCCAGTCTTTTTTTCGTCGATTTTTACGGGTGATAAAAAAACCCGAAAAAGGTGGGTTTTAAACTCGGATCGTTCATCCCTCCCCAATCCCACATTCGGTTCATCAAATCATTGCATTTAAAATATCCTATACACAAGTCAGGTATATACATCTCAACTGATACATGTCTATAGATAAATATAATTATACACGTTTAATCATTAAACATACACCTCTCATCAAATAAATCCTTTAACCTTTGATGAGACCAAGGTTCAAGTTTTAATTAATTTTACGAGTTATTATATAAATATGGTGTGATACTGTTTTGTATGAGGAAAGATGTAGACGTTCTGTAATAATGTAAGAAGGATAGCCGGGTAGTGGTGGCGTTGGAGGTTTCGCTCGCTCAATCACGGCAAACACCATGTAAAACTTAGCCACAGTTCCACGTAAGTAAAGTGTCTCGTTATATGGGGAAATCATTAAATGAAAATGCTTAATAAAAAAGTTCATAAATATATACATGTATTAACTTAATGTTAACAAGTGAATTATCCCGTAATGTTTATCATTGTTGTTTTATTTTACTTTGAATTACTTTAAAAATAAGAAGATGTGGTATGATTGACAGTGAAACATCTCTCCACAAGTTTGATTCACATTCTAAATTCCGATATTTTTCCCATTTTTATTTGTTTTTTTTTCACAAAACTTCACTCTTACCGTCCATTTTTAATTGTCATGCACATGTAACACGTGCTTTTTTAAAAAATGCAATATCAAATTACAGCTAAGTTAAAATATGTTGCTCAGCTTCTTTAGATTATTGGGTCATTAATGGGACCGTATTGCAAGTAATATGCTCCCAAAAAAATAGAAAAGACCCCTAAATTTATTTTAAGCATGTCGTATTAATTTGCTGTAACATTGCAAGTATTTTACCCGCATTTTTTTTTTCCACAGGTCCGAATAGCTTCCGTAATGAAGATACTCAACAGAGACACATGTTTCAGTATTGGGGACAAACATTTTTTAGGAAGAGAGGTTTATTCTGATATAAAGTAAGCACTGTATGTATTTTCAGTAATCATTTATCCTAAAATATATATTGTCTTTATTAAATTATAATGGTACCTGGGAAGTACACAGAAATATGCTCGTTATGCTCGATTGGTGATGGTGTTTTATCAGACAGTAAGCGTTGATACGTTTGTCAATTTTGCTCTCCCTCCCAATGATTGGATATTTTTCTTCACGAAGGAAAACTGTTTCTTCTTAAGACATAGAATCTTTTACAGTACATGAAATTGTCCACCTGCTTTTAATTTTAATTCTAATCTAAGTTACTTCGGAGTGTCTTCTTATATCATGTTTTTCCCTCAAAACGGCTTGATATAATTCCATTAAACTGTTACCAGATTCTTCGGAAGGACATGACGCTCCTTTCATTTTATATTTTGATTCTGGTAATTTTGGATTTTCCATGCTAAAACATGGACTTCGCCATTTCTGCTTATGTTATTCGGAGACGGCAGGCGAACAATATTTACTAGTATGAATTCGAAGAATCATAATTTTGTTATGAACTATTTCTCATCGTCATACTCTCACTACATCGAGTCTTTGTAAAGGAACGACCATTTAACCTCAAAAAGGGGGAAAGGGGGGGGGGGGGGGGGGGGGGGGGTATGGGGTCATGGGGTTATGGTTTTTTTCCTTAAAAAAATTTCTGATCCCCAATTTGATGAAAAAAAAATATTGTGGTCAAGCGAAAAAAGATTCTGAATCCAGATTTTCCCCATACCTTATAGTGTTAAATTTTGAAAAAAAAATTTGATTGAAAGCGGCAAAAAACTAAAACAAAAATGTTCGCGACTAGCGTGAACATTTTTTTTCTGACAAAAAACCATAACCCCCCCCCCCCCCCCCCCCCTTTTGAAGTTAAATGGTTACTCCCTAAGGGGGATATACAATCGTCAATATTAACAGGTTTATAACTAAATTAACCAAATGTGCGTTTCGTCTACATAAACCTTATCGGTGAATAAGCAATTTGAAAACCAGATCAATTTCAAAGTTAAAGGGCATACACATACACATACACTACATACTTTGTAAATTATTATGGTCTGGATGGAGTTTACAAAAAAAAATATGGAATTGAATATAATGGGATGTTTGAATATAAAGAATACAGAAAAATGGCCAAATGAATAAAGAATAGAGAAAAATGGTTTGAAAAATTCAAGAATAAAGAAATGAAGGACCTCTATCAAGACCCTCTTTTATAGTCCGAATGAATATATGCTACAAAGAAATGTTCCCTTGTCGATGTACCGAAAGTAAGACCTGTTAGAAGAACTCTGATTGTCATTTTTGAAAGCGATTACTGTCTTAGCGGGACTAGTTAATTAGTTGCTTTTTAGAAAAAGGCCAAATGTGGTCTGTAGACGGAAGACGTATATTACATTGTTTTCCCATAGTTTGCTGGATTTTCGCAATTGCAGATAACAATTAGTACATGTACTTTCATCCTGTGCTGATGCTGGTAACAGAATTATACACCAGAACTAACAACATACATTTGAAATTCAAAAAAAAAATATGGTGCTCCGGCATATAACTTTTACACATTATCTAATATAAAACTTAAAATGTCACTTTACGTAAAATAGATTTAAATAGAATTTAAGCTTGGCACTTATTAAAGTTTGGCTTTATATATATTATATAAGCTGTCTAGTAGCATTTACTTCAGTTATTTACAAACTAATGCTTCCTTACAAAAATAAATACATCGTCAAAATTTCAAACCCTTAATAAACATGTAAAAGGCAAAACATCAAAATTTAAATTAGCACAAAAACATTAAAAACTTATAAAGAGAAAATGGTCGCACAAAATTCAGAGACCTTAAAAAGTATTTGTCTGGCTCGAATTGTTGAAAAATGAATAAATCGAACAAAACGTTCAGATCTGTAAAGATCGATTTTATAAATTCTTGTTTGCTTAACTTCCTGTCGTATGGAGGACGAGAATATGGATTGAAATGTTGGATTTAATGTTATTTGACGCTAATTTCAGTGGCAAATATTATAAGAGTTCAAACTGATAAGTGAGTACTACTAAATCGATCGACCTGCAGTGGCGGATGCAGGGCGTATAGACGTATGCCTCCCCCAAACCAATAATTTGTGCGATAGCTAAAGAAATATTAATATAATCTGTATATTTCTAACGATCTGTTAGAGTTTTTAGCATAAAATTGTCCAAAAAATACAATAAAAAAGATACAGAACTCCAAGGAAAATTCAAAACGGAAAGTCCCTTATTAAATGGCAAAATCAAAAAGTTAAAGCACATGAAATGAATGGAAAACAACTGTCATATTTATAAAGAATTTTTGCCTCGCTCCTCTCGGCAATACTTATTACTTTTCGGTTAATTACGCTCCTTTTTCAAAAATTATGAAACGTTCCTAACTGTAAATCGTCACTTATTTTTAAAGTATCACACGTTTTGTTTTCTGGCAACATAATGGCGTATATCTGAACAATAAACCAAATAACAACCTCGTGTGATGTCTTCAGATCGTACACGAACATTGAACAAATCTAATAAAAAAAAACGTCTAAAATTGAGTACAATTAGCACAGGAAAAAGCAGGCATTTTATTTGAAAGGTTTTTAAATTCTACACACAATCTATGTCCCAAATAGTACCACAAAATCATAAAATAGTATTCACCTATTCATTTTAATTATTCACAGATGCGGAGTTTATTTATAATACCTTGACAGATACAGACTTCTTCCCTGTTCATTGGACAACTGTAACAGAATATAATGTGATGCCATCATTTACAACGGAACCTTTCAACACCATAAATGGTATATTCGATCCGAAAGAATTTGAGATATTAACAGAATAATAAGAAGCAAAATACCAATCATCTAAATATTCTCCAGATTTATGTTTAAAAAAAAACCTTTGAAAACATTTAGTTTATAATACCTTGTTGTGTCAAATACATGTATATGTCACAAATACACTATTTGCATATTACCGACTTTTGACCCCGGAATTTATATTTTTTCGAAAGATTAAGTTACCTTACCTACTTTGTGGTAGGACATCCTGGTAAGAGTGCAGCGGTAGGAGTAAGAGCATCCTAAAGAAGTCAAATCAACCTTACAATCGGTACAATTTGGGCGGAAAGTTCGCTGTTTAATATTTTCTATACACGACAAAATAATCGGAAAACAGTAAAATTTCCCCCATATTGCACCTATTATATGTTTGATTTTACTTCTTTTGGTTGTTCTTACTTGACCGAGTACCAGGATGTCTGACCACAAAGTATGTAACCTGTCGAAAAATTATATTATCCGGAGTCAAAAGTCGGTAATATGAAAAAAGTCTGTTAATTACCTGTTATTATTTTACCAAATCTTATCCTATAAGATATTTTAAGGCTGGTAGTAACGGAGATGTATATGTACTGCTGTGTGTATGTGTATATGTGGTTTGAAATTGGTTTGTCTAAAATCTTTTCTTACACCACTTTAGAGATGTAATTAAGTGTGTTGAAGTTGCGTGGTTGTGTTGTATGTATGTTAGAAGTGTTTTAAAAGTCTATTCGAGACGCCAAAGGCCAAAATGTGCAATATTGTTGTATATAATATTTTTTGTGTAACATATTTTAATATAATTATTATATAACTGTTACTAAATGTCTTTACGAAGTGATGCAGTGACAACTTGAGGGGTGTAGATGGAATACACCCCACTTTGAATTAAAAAAAAAATCATGTTTTGGACATGATAAAATCGTAAAAAAATATTTTACAATCAACTGGCATTTACGCCTCCCTTTTCCTCGAATCCTCACTTGTGATGATCCTTGCTGAGTTTTTTGTTGTTTTTTTTTATCTATAATGCTGTTTTGAGCATATTATCAACGGCAAACTAGCAATAAAAAAATCCATTCATATCCGAAACTAAATTATCACGTAGACTTTGAAATTTCAATGTATGGACAGAAAAGGTCCAAAAATGGTTGATGGTATGCGAACTGAAAACATAGTGTTCGTTGCAAACTGGTAGAAAGTAGATTGATACACACTGTAGGATGACGTATATACTATTGTATGAGTCCTTAAAGAATACCAATGCATTATTTTTCCACTTCGCAATCAAATGTTTCTTGGATCACACTTTCCGCGTTCTTATATTATAGATTTATGTATCGCTAAGGCACCGACCATTGATTTTTTGTTTGTGTGTGTGTGTGTAAGGAGGGGGGGTCAATTTGTTTTGACTTTAATCAAAAACAAACCATTGTTTAATAACATTTTGGAACAAGAAAATTGCGTTCAAACTCAAGTTGATATTTTTAACTTAAATGGAAAAACTATTTCTGTCACTTCCCTTTAACCGACCGTGCAAGACCTTCATCGGTAGTCAAGGTCGTTAAAGACCCTCCTCATCATTTGACCTTTGTTAGTCTTGTTTTTTTTTGTTTTTTTTTTTTTGTTTTGTTTTTTAATTTTAGTTCATTTATATGTTTCGGAGTTTAGTGTGACGTCCGTATTCACTGAACTATTACCCATATCTGTATAAGGGCCAGATGAAGCCCGCTTCCAGATGCGGGATTTTCTCGCTGTGTTGAAGACCCATTGGTGGCCTTGGGATGTTTTCTGTTCTTTGGTCGGGCTGTTGTCTCTTTAACACATTCCCAATTTCCATTCCCAATTTTATCCCTTCTGAAACAAATTATTCAATCTGTGAATTAAAATAAATATAGGCCATCAAAAACATGAATGGTCGGTGCCAAAGAAGAATAGATCAACTTTATAGCATAAATTGACTTTGGCAAGTATTTAACTACAATGAGAATAGCTGTCAATATCTTTTCAGGTTAACCTGATTTTTGAAATGAGTTTCAAAGTAACTGTTAAAGATAACAGTTTATAAGAATTGCTTCTGAAACGCTTTCCAGGATTAACGTTCGGGAACTCTCCAACCCAAAAATTTGAAAGCCATGGACATTAACACAAATTTAGACTTTAAACACAAATAAGTAATTACCTTAATATGTATTCTTAAAATGTTTTATGTTTGTCTTACCCAGATAATATGGGTTTTATCAAAGCTGAATTGTGATAGATGTAGATTTAGTTTTGCACTTTGCTAGAAAAATTGTACGTAGTTTTTAAACACTTTAATATTGCACTTGCTTTGTAGTAACTATTATTCCAGCGTGCCAAATACATGTACATAAAACTTACCTATTCTTCAGTAGGCAAAAAGTGGTGGATTTACGTCGAAACAACGCAATTTACAACCGATTTGTCTTCTGTGATATGTAAACACAATATGCACAATAAGTACCTTTAGAATACTCAATGTAATATTCATGTGTGTATAAATAAAGTATGGGAGGGGTTGTCAGTTTAATCGAATGTGTTTATTTTGCATAAGTATGTGTACGAGAGAGAGAGAGAGAGAGAGAGAGTTCATATATTTTTTGTTTTTGTGTATGTGTTTTTGTACGTGTTTGAGTGAGAGACACGTAAAATCTGAAGAATATTCTGTTCAGTCAGTTTGTATGTGTATGTATTGTATCTTGTTTGTGTTCATCATTAAGCATGGTGTATGTGTATGTATTGTATCTTGTTTGTGTTCATCATTAAGCATGGTGTATGTGTATGTATTGTATCTTGTTTGTGTTCATCATTAAGCATGGTGTATGTGTATGTATTGTATCTTGTTTGTGTTCATCATTAAGCATGGTGTATGTGTATGTATTGTATCTTGTTTGTGTTCATCATTAAGCATGGTGTATGTGTATGTAGTGTATCTTGTTTGTGTTCATCATTAAGCATGGTGTATGTGTATGCATTTATCTTACATGTATGTGCCTCAAGTATGCAAACGCTTGTGGGTGTAGAAAAAAAAATATATTGTTATGGTCAGGTGTGATCATATATTCTTGTTAATCAGGTTTTAAGATTTTTTTCTGTAAAACTAACCAAAATTTTTATCTTTACAATATATGAGCAATTGAATGGGTTCCTTCATTACTCAATTCCTTAATTTTTTTTGGTATTTTTTTCTATTCTTTATATTAAAGTACCCCATTATTTTCTATTCTTTATTTTTTTTACCTATTTTTTCGCTATTCTTTATTTTTTGGCCCATGTTTGTGTAGTATTGGTCCATTATCCTCTATTCTGTAAAACCCATCCAGTTTATTTATCAATTTATTGTCACGTTTATATTCTGAAGATAATTGGTGACATAAAATCTTTATGAGTGATTCTAGTCATAATTCATGGTTATTGTCTATGGTTTTGCTATTATTAAACAGGTGATATTGATCAAAATGGTTACGTCATGTTTCTTATTCTCGTAGAAAATCCTCTGCCTGATACGAGATTGCGCTGACGCTTTAAGACAGTGCGGCAAACGGTAATTGTTGCTTTTTATAACGCTACATTTATTGGATGTTGCTTCTTTCATTTAGTCTTTGTTGGTGGTCAAGATAAATCTTTACAACTAATGACAGACCGTTGCTTCTTAATTTAGTAGTACATGTAATTTCAAAATATGATAGTACCTCCCCCGTGGTCTCGTGGTAGCGTACTCGTCTCCAGTGGGGTAGATCGTGGTTTCGAACCTCGGTTGGGTAAAACCCCAAAGACTTGAACATTGATATTTGCTGCTTCTCTGCTTAGGACGCGTCAATTAGGAGTAAGAGAAAAGATTAGTCTGCTCGGGGTCAGAATAATGTGACAGGGAAGGGTGACATGTCTTCCTGCGAACTGTTACCTTGTGAACTATCACGTTAAAAACCCAACTCAGCGTGTCGGTCTAGTACAAAGCAGGGTTAATATTCATATCACATTAACATGTTTTTGTCCTGAATATGGATATTAATTTGCCGCAGCCATCAATCATCATCATCCTAGTCAGAGGTTCATCATCATCTTAGTCAGAGGTTCATCATCATCCTTGTCGTTTAAGCAATCACGTGTTTAGTTTACTGATTCCTTTATATCTACTGACAGTAAATATTGAAGTTAATACTCAACATTTGAAGATGTTCAAACTTAAACATTTGTTCGTCGTTGAGATCAACTGTTTTTCTCATTTCATTTAGTATAAGACTGTGTAACTTTTGACGATGTGTCCAACCTAGAACAATTCACAAACATTTCACCCAATGTTGTACACCTAGATTAAAACGCACAGCTATGGTGGACGTTTCAGTTTAAATTATGTTAATCTATGAAAGATTAAATGGTAAAGTGTTGGAACATTAACTGTGTTAGCTACATATATACTTTATTTGAACGATGGTTGGAGAAATTGTAATACATCGGACTATGGGAATCTCAATCATATAGAAACTCCAATTATGGGAACGTGGATTCCAAAAAGTCTCATACGAAAGATGGTCAGTAAGAGATGTACACGAATGTAATTTGTGCGGTACAGTTCCTTTGAACATTCATAGCTTGTCGTCGAATCTTTAAACAAGTGTTCTTTTAACGCAGATATAATTTTCTTCCCAATTGAGATTCACGCATGTGCAGTTGAGCTTTTAATTGTTGAGTATATTAATGAAATCCGATTTTTTTCTTTTAAAACGAAATATCTATATCTTAAATTCGGTCGAAAACAAGATGATCTGTTCAGAGTAATCCAGTAAAAAATTACTTTTTTCTTAATACTATTCAACGATAAAGTTCAAAACATGATATTATCTTTACACTTATTTCTTAATGTTGTAGCTCCAATATTTTTCTTGAGGTTTGTAAAATTGCTGGTGTTTGCGGAACTGTAGCATCGGGTGAACGTGCATCGATGGTGTTTACTGTTTTCTTACGTTAAGTCAATTTTATTTCCATGGTAGCAAACATACTTTCGGTGAACTGTAACATT